ATAAATAAAAAAATAATTTTAATATTTATTTTATTTTTATGTAAAATATTAAAATTATCTTTTTGTCAATAAACTCGTTAGAAATAAAAAAACATTAAAATTATTTTTTTATCTATTATTTTTATGTCGATCCAACATGTTGTGTCATATGTTCTGTTTTTCATTAATAGAATTGATGATATTATGATAAATATAATTAGTTGTTTCATTCTCAGAATTATGGAGATTATAAAAATATAATTTTTAATTAGTCCAGATTAATCTATAGGGTGATATATATTTGAATCTATGTTAGGTTGCTCAAATGAGTTTAAGTAATCCATGCCAAATTATATTTTGATATGAATGAGGATGAATCATACAGTGACAACAGAAAGAGACATGGACTAGAGATATAATTTTACATTACTAAGAAACAAAAGAGTGGATTTACCAACACATTCAAAGAAAAGATATCAAAAAATATTGATGTGTGCAAAGTAAACAATTAAAATTTGACTAGAGATTAGTGTTTTAATGGTAAGAATTAGAAGAGTGAGCCACAGCTTAAGCTATTATTTGTGCCCTTGACTTCTTTCGTCACTCACGGAAGACTTTTAGCCTTTGCAATGCTGTGTTCAGCTTTTGAGAGCAATGATTGATTCAAGCAATATGTGAGCTGTGGCCTTGGATATTGCTTGTACTATTGCGTAGAATTGGATTCCATACAGGTGAGCACTTGCCCCTCCCTCACCAACCTCATTGTATCTCTTGTCAACATCTACTCTATTTGATTTATATACGTGACTGGCTAAAGCAGCATTACCACAAACAGTTGGTTGACAAGGATGTGTCATCCTTTGCAGCTGTGGTTGGCGATGGATTTCTCATGCGAGACATCACCATAGAGAACGCAGCAGGCCCCAGCAAGCACCAGGCCGTGGCTCTCAGGGTCGGCGCCGACCTGTCCGCCTTCTACAGGTGCAGCTTCGTGGGCTACCAAGACACCCTCTACGTCCACTCCCTACGCCAGTTCTACCGAGAATGCAATGTCTACGGCACCGTCGACTTCATCTTCGGCAACGCGGCGGTGGTGCTCCAGAACTGCAACCTCTACGCCCGGAAGCCTTTGCCGAACCAGCAGAACATCTTCACGGCTCAGGGGCGGGAAGACCCGAACCAGAACACCGGCATCTCCATCCAGCGGTGCAAGGTGGCGGCGGCGGCGGACCTCATCCCGGTGCAGGCCAACTTCTCCACTTACCTCGGCCGGCCGTGGAAGGAGTACTCGCGGACGGTGTTCATGCAGTCGTACCTCGACAGCTTGATCTCCCCGGCGGGGTGGCTGGAGTGGAATGGCAGCTTCGCGCTGAGCACCCTCTACTACGGCGAGTACATGAACCGAGGGCCGGGGTCGAACACCAGCAGCAGGGTGGCTTGGCCGGGGTTCAGGGTGATCGGCGACGCGGCGGAGGCGAGCAACTTCACGGCGGCTGCCTTCGTCCAAGGCGACCAGTGGTTGGGATCCACCTCTGTGCCTTTCAGTTTAGGGTTGGACTAAGCTTGCATGGTTTACACGACGTCTTCCGGCAGTCATGATCGCACGCATTAGAGCAATACGTTGCTACTCTAAAAGGTGTCTAACAACCCAAAGCAGGCGGAAGTTTTTGTCTGCCTCAGTGTAACACATCATTCTGCTTGAATCCATTTCCTTCTGCTTTGCAAGTTCGAATAAAATGCTCCGTTGCAATCTTTGGTGCTCATACATTAATGGTGGCATTAACTTGGGCTCTGCTATCTCCAAAAAAATCGGTCGCTCAGACTCGGTCGGAGCCCAAAACGGATCGGGTCGATCTCATCCGATGTGTTGACAAGTCGAATTGGAACCGACAGCTATTGAGATGTGAGATCCGAACTGCCTGAGTTAGTAGAGGACTATGTGAAGTGTTTTAGAGAGTTGAGAGATGGCTAATGACGCGGTAAATTCTATGCAAGGGAGATAATTTTATATTATACTTGTTATAGCGATCATCAAATACAAATACATTAAATAAAATATTATTTTTAAAGATTATCTTATAATCTTTAAAGGATAAGTGATAAGGGTGAGATTTGAACCCAATGTCTTATACACCTAAACTAAACTATATAAAAAAAATTATGAGATGAATACATCATAATTTACATAATTATTTTAAATTTAAAAATTTTAATCTTAATAATTGTTTAAACCTACAAATTAGATACAACATCGCACCTATTTAAATCTAAAATAGATCAAAATGATATCAAGATGATACCAATGAGATAATATTCCTCTATCTATTTGAAAATTAAAATTCAATATTTATAATATTAAACTTTATCAAAGTGTATTTATTTTTATATTTTAGAACTTAAAAGTTATTTTTTGATTTCTTAGCCTTTTATTCTTTTTTTTTAGAGAGAGATTTAAATAAGGGTTCGTATAATATTGACTACAAAAACCCTCGTCAGCCACACCTCCGCCTTCATAACCCTAAGAGAAACCCCGTCGCGGTCATGGCGGCTGTCGCCCAGCGGAGGGCCTCCCATCTCCTCTCCCGACTCCTTCCGCGGTCGCCGCTCTCTCGCGACCGCGGTCCCCTTGCTCGCCTCACGGCCGCCGCCATCGATGTTGCCCACCCGGCTGCCCCCGCGCTGCCGTGGCTCTTCGTGGCCCGTTACAAGACGACTTCCGGCTCCGGATACTCCCCGCTCAACGACCCGTCCCCGAACTGGAGCAACCGCCCGCCAAAGGAGACCATCCTCCTCGACGGCTGCGACTACGAGCACTGGCTCATCGTCATGGAGTTCCCGGAGGGCTCTAAGCCGTCCGAAGACGAGATGATCGGAGCATACGTCAAGACTCTCGCGGCCGTCGTCGGTTCGTAAGTGACCCGACTCTCACTCGTGGCGACATGGGCATACGTGGCTTAGAGCTTTGAATTTTCGGTCTAATCATGGTGCTGCGTTGATTTCAGTGAGGAGGAAGCAAAGACGAGAATCTACTCTGTTTCCACCACAACGTATACCGGATTTGGGGCTTTGATCTCCGAGGAGCTCTCTTACAAAGTTAAAGGTATCGCCTTGATTAACTTCCATGTTTTAGTTTATGGATGCAATTATTGGGAGAAAGGATTAGGGTTTTTGCTGCTTCTTGCTAAAAGTTGGTCGGGATTTGTTTTGGGACAGGATTGCCTGGAGTGCTGTGGGTACTGCCTGATTCTTATTTAGATGTGCCCAACAAGGACTATGGAGGTTGGTAGTGTTCCTTTCTAAAAGTTGGTACTTATAAATATATAGCTCCATGTCTTTTGTTTTGTTGCTTTTGGTAATTATATTTGGTATTCAATGATTTCCACTAAGTTAACTGATGCAGTTGGTTACTTTCTTGCTAATTGCTTTGCTGATGAATGCCTTTGTTTTCTTTTTTACTTTGGAATCCTACAGGGGATCTATTTGTCGATGGCAAGGTCATACATAGACCCCAATTTAGATTCACCGAGAGGCAGCAGACCAGAACCAGGCCGAGACCACGGTACGATAGACGACGAGAAACAATGCAAGTTGAAAGAAGGGAACCAATGATGAGAGGCACTTCGGGGCAGAATCAGGGTCAGTCCGGCCTTCATCAGCGGTCTGAAATTCCACAAGGATGCGGCAGTGGCAAGCAAGAATAATAGAATGGTCCACCAAGAAAAGGTCATAGAGGTTTGTTGGACTGTGTTCGTAAAATTGTTTATCCAAAATGATCATCTGATATATCAGTTCTAAATTAACATGTAGAAGGGCTATATAACTAGATGTTCTAATTTCTTCTCTCAGAACAAATTGCTAGCTTTTTGACAACTTAAAACATTTTGGAAGTTCCACATACCAATGCAGTAGAGTTGAATGACACTACTGTGGTTCCCCTCAGAATTCTAGATGTATAACCATTGTCTCGTAATTTTGCTTTTACACTTTCGTCTAGTGAGATGGAATGGAGATGTGATGCTATTTGTATTCTTGATTTCATTTGGCTAGCCTTGGTATTTTAGAGACTTTACGTACTTCCTTTCATTTCCTTTCCTTGGCAAGTAAGCACCTTTGCTCTTGTATCCTTGCCATGTATATTATGGGTTGCAAAACAAAGAATCAGAGAGGCACACTATTTGTTGCAAATTGGGGAAGATTTGACTATGAGACCTGTCAATATTATGATTCATGAGATGTCTTATATAGAAGAAATATATAAAGACCATTTTAATAGATTCACAAAAGTGGTAATCAAGAATGCAGTTACAGACCTGTTAATGTTATGGTTCATGAGATTTGTCTTCCGTACCAGAAAGATAGAGGGGCGAGTGAGAAACAAACTTGTTCATCTGTTCGGAAATGTCAATTACTGATGGTTATATATGTAGGATGGTTACAAAGAGTGGTCGTCAGGAATACAGTTACAGATCATTATTTTGAGTTCCTGTATCGTAATATATGTAGAAGTTTGATAGGGGTATTGTACACTGTTCCTTCTTGTACCATAGCTATCAAGTTCTTTCCCCCTTTGAAGCATTCTTTTTTACTCGTTACCAGCTTTCTTGGCTTGTCTTGTTGTGCCTGTAGAAAATGGTTTACATCTATGCTTCTGCATAATAGTTTATGACAAAACTTGTCAGGATATAGTAAATGTCTTGCACTTTTTTGAACTGCTATATTACTTTTGTTCATGAGAAATAAGAAACTGTTTATTGTCATCTTACCTTGACCACTTCTACAAGTTCACCTGTTGAGAGGAATCATGGCTGGTATATTATTATGTTCACTAATTCTTTATGATTCTGAGGATTCATTGCTTCTCTTGCTTTCGGTGAAACAGGATTCTTGTTTCATTCTTTGCTAGAATGGTCATTTGTTCTTTCTGAAATGTGGATTAAGAACCAATTTTGTTTAGTGATTATGAATTTTGCTTCTGTGTATTTGCATTTCATCTTAAGCAGATTTTCCTATTTCTGAATTAGGTTGCTTGGTTCATGAGTCTTCTGCCAACCCTTCATCTGGGAGGATTCACGTATGCAATCTTATCCGAGTTTATCTACTTAACGATTTGTATTTTAGTGTGTTCAATTACCAATTAAAGTTACTTTGCCTAATGACTATCCAAAACGTTATCCTCAGATCATATGAATTTATGATTACCTCTTTGAATCTGGTGATATTAATTCCTAAATTACTGATGCCTGTTACATGTTTGGATGGTCTTGTTCTTACTGGCACACTTGTCCTTGAATTGTTAGATTTTATGATAATGGTAACAGTGCTCTGTAAACTATCATATCTTTACACTCTTTTATCAACAGGGAAGATTAGAGCGTATGACATTTATCATCACTTATAGTGCATGCCATTTTTTCTTAGTTTTTTAAAACATTATATTCCTCTCTTTGATATTAGTTGTTCATATAGTTTGTCTCAATGAAATAAAAAAAATATATAAATTCTACGATGAATGATTCACATATTCTAAGATTTTAGGCTTGATGGAATTGTTTTGTGATTAGGCTATAATATTTTTTTCTCTTTGGAGTTAGAAAAAAAAAAGAGATTCACGTTTTGCTAAAAAGATCGTTGAGATCCATCAAAAGAATAAAAAAGATAAAAGGAATAATTTGTATGTTATCGGCAAGTTAATTTTACCTTTGGTAGTTAAATCTTTTAGCATTTCGATTTTTAGATTTAAAAAATTTATATTAAAATATATATAGTTATGATAGTGAAATATTTAATTTTATTTATTCTAACATCATCGATCTTATCGGTTGTTTGAATGGTACGAAAATAATGATAAAAAGATAATTTTAACGGTTGTGATGAGCTAATTATATATTATTTTCTGTAGTTAGATCTTTTTAATGACATTCAGATTTAAAAAAATTATATTAAAATTTTTATAGTTATAAAAGTAAAACATTTAACGTTATATATCCTAACGCTGTCGATTTTATTGATGGAAGTTAGAGCGTGTGATAACATGTGAATGAATGATATGAAAATTTATCGATAGAAGTTAGAGTGTGTGATAACATGTGCATGAATGATATGAAAATGATGAACAAAAAGATAATTTTAATAGTGATAGCGGATGATGGTGTCATGGGTGGTGCTCGGTGATAACGACATAATGGTCTGATTTGAACATTGATGATGAAAAAGAAAATGAGGTAGAGTGATGAGGCATATACATTGTGGTTAACCTTTAAATTGGGAATCGTCGTTTTAGTTAGAGTTTTAAGATCAATCGATAGATGTCTCACCGTTTTTATCTTTCTCTTGATGTTTGTATCAATATCAACAAGGACAACTACTGCATTGTTATCATGTCATCATCTGTCATCACAAAATTAACTTTTTTTTATCATTTTCATATTATTTATGCATGTGTTAAGTGTTTGTTTATCATTTTCATATCTTAGTTGATAACATTAAAGTAAATAAGGTTAAATATTTTATTTTCATAACTAGTAATTTTAATGTAAATTTTTTTAGTTTATGGATCGAGATGTTAAAAATTATTTTTTTATCTAATGTTTTTATGTTATTCATGCAATTTTTGTTTTGATAGTAATTCGTTGGTAAAATTGATTAGGATAAATCTAATTAAATATTTTATTTTAATAATTATACAAATTTTAATATAATTTTTAAATATAAAAATTAGAATACTAAAAAGATAGATACCAACTCGGTGGTGTCATAGTCAACGAAAATATCATACGAAAATATAATATTTATTTAACCATTTAGAGTCAAAATCTTTCCTCACCACTGACCACTATGAACTTGATGCTATAATAGGATTTTTCCCACATATTTCAATTTATTTAAAATCCACCTTTATTTCACAAAATGAAGCAAACCAAGTCGGTTCTAATCATCCATCATCTTAGACAGACGATTAGGATCGTCCTCATCAGTTAAAAATCATTACAATTATCATATGAATATATGATGGTCCAATTAGCCTCACATCCGATATATCATGACTTCGATTGAGGTACACGAGGTGCTAACCTCACCTACAAAAATAAAAAGGACCTCTTCAATTTTCTTTTTATGACTAAGGCCACTCAATATCCAATAATGGACCAATTTCATACTCTTTCCATGATGTAAGATTTCATTCTTTCGTAGATTTTTTGCCCACCGTTGTGCAACGTACATTACGGCGTTTACGTTGCATGCATCACTCCCGTAGGCTATCGTGCGGTCACATGTCCGGTCAACTTGATACGTTGGTCAACGAGTTATGGTCAACGGTCCGGCTACGGAGTGTTGGTGCAAGCGCTCGGAACGTGGGAGGAGGAGACATCTCGCTAAACAGCGGCAGAAATCCAGTGTGTGCCGTGGTAAGCAATGGCCGGCCTGCTTTGGTGCCCTCGACAAGTGTTCTCGATGCTGTCATCAACATCCTGGGAAGGAGAGAGAATCCGGTCCAACCCACGCGCTTCTTCATCTTCTTCTTCATGCGTGAGTAGTATATATAACCAACCCCTCAACCCGTAAAGACCCCACGATTTGCCTTCTCCGCTTCTCTTCATTACTACGAGTGGGTATCCATCTTCCGATCTCAGAAGCAGCAGCATAGCAGCAAAGCAAAGATGTGTGGCGGCGCCATCATCTCGGACTTCACCCCCCCGCGCAACCACATCCGCCGCCGCCGCCCCGACCACCTCCTCTCCGCCTCAGACCTCTGGCCCGAGTCCTTTCAGGATAAAGGTAACTCCTCTCTCTCTCTCTCTCTCTCGATCGATCTATCTATCTCCTTGCTTTTGGTCCAAAGGTGGCGCCTTGATGGCTTCTTATGCTGCTGCTTCTTGTACCACAGCAGCGCCTCGGAAGCGGGAGCGGAAGAACCTGTACAGGGGGATACGGCGGCGGCCGTGGGGGAAGTGGGCGGCGGAGATCCGTGACCCGGCGAAGGGCGTCCGTGTCTGGCTCGGCACCTTCACCACCGCCGAGGAAGCCGCCCGCGCCTACGACCGCGCCGCCCGCCGCATCCGTGGCAGGAAGGCCAGGGTCAACTTCCCCAACGAGGTGGAGCCCAAGCAAGTCTCCGTCGCTCTCGTCGAACCCAAGCCGGAAGGCGATGGCGACGGCGAGGTGAGGAGGCTCTCGGAGGAGCTGATGGCTTACGAGTCGTCCATGAACTTCTTCGGTATACCATACATGGAGGGCGGAGCCGCAGCTACGGCGCCGGTGGCAACAGATGAGGTTGTGACAGGGAATATTGGGATTGAGGCGTGCGATCCACCGGTCTCTTCAGGAATGGAAATGCTTTGGAGCTTCGACGACATCCTTCCAAACTAATTGCTTTCCTCTCTTCAATGGTTGTGTTGGACATCGACGCTTGTGCATACGCAACTTCTTCGTATGTTGTTTAGTAGCTTCATTAAGAGTGTAGTGTAGGAGTTTAGCCTCCAGTTCATGTTACTTTGCCCTAATTGTTATATGTATCTAATACTCTGCTGTTTGATCTTCCACCTTTGCCAAGTTAAGGAACTGTTTTATGTGTTGAAGGAACAGTAATCTGGTTTCCTCAATGACTCGAGGCATTTAGTCGAACACGAGAGGTTTCCCTGCTTCTCAAATGAAACAAAAGCCTGATTACTGTTCAATGCATGTGTCCGAGTAGGGAGACCAGTGAATAGCTGCCTGTAAGAAGAACCAAAGAGAGATGATCAGAATTCTCACAGTTAAATCGTTAACACGAGATGTGACAGTTGGATCCTCATGTTGGGATACTCGATAAAATTTCTCCGAGGCTTATATGGCAGCTTTATGTTAGATTTCTTTACATGGCATTGGATCTTCCTCGATGGAGAAACTGGAAACACTGTTTCTCGAAACAGAGGGTTCGGCCTCGTTAGAATCACTTCCTGTAGCTCGGCTCAGATCTGTGGGTTCTTCCTATGTGCCGAAGTGGATAACTCCAATTGACAGGACGATGTGAGAAGACAGTTCGGCAGCTTTTCTGATAAGAAGAGTCCGAGTAAGAGCAGCATCACTGTAACTACCTACGTTCACTTCATTCGAAGTCAACGCAAGTTAGCTTGCGTTGACTTTGCTTGCATTGATTAGTCAACCCATGGAAAGTTACTCTTCTTATATTGCCGAACATGTCAGGATGATGAGACGGAGAGGGGAGAAGGAGGAGGAGACTGGGGGAGGAGTCAGACAAGAAAGAAGAAGTCGCGAAGGGAGGTGGTCGAGGCAACGAGTGAGGAGGAGATGGAAGTGAAAGAGAGGGAGGTGCAGGAGAACAAGATGAGGTGGAGAGAGAAAGGAGGAGAAGAGAAATGAGGTTTAATTAAATTAGTTTAAAATCGATTTAATTTCAAATGGTTCAAAAAATCATTATGTTTGATTCCTAAGTGTTTTTATTATTTATAAAAAATATTTTAAATTAAAAATAAATAGAGAGACATCATCGGGTGAAAATCCAATAGTATAAACTTTTTTTCCAATAAAACTTCAAAAAAGAAAAGAAAAAAAAAACAGGACTAACCATACTCAAGTGTATGTTGACAATATGGAACAAAAATTTTGTGATAGCAAACATATTGTAACTAAAATAAATAAATGAATCATCCTTATATTGCCTTTTATGATGGAAATTATATTAAGATAATTTCTTCTTCCTATCGAATGATATATTATACCTAAAATTTTTAGCAAAGGGAATAAACCCTTCGTTCATCTGTTAGTTTGTATGGCTTGTTGCTTATGTGTATTGTTAGTGTCAACATTTTTATGCCGTGGTCTCAGGGCCAATACGGTTGGGTTCGGGTCCGAATGATCGGAGATCTTCCTGAACGACCCTTGAGACTGCTGAGGTAGTCGATCGCGGTGGTCTGATCGCGACGGGGTCATTGTTTTCTCCGGGAGGGGACCCCTCGCTTGGGCCTTCGATGGGAGGCACTTCATCTTCGTCCCTACACATAGGTCGGGTAAGGAGAGTTCGGCCCGACCCCTCCGACGATCAAGTTAGTCGATAGTCTCATGGGGTTTTCTTTTTTTTTCTCCCTCCCCTTCGTTCCAAACGCGAGGGTTTTTATAGGGAAGGCCACCGTTTCCTAATGTGCCTGCTTGTAGGGAGCAGGGTCGTACCTGGGATAACATCTGACATTGGCATTGGCGTTGCGTGAAGGACCGGGCTCCTACAGGATGATGACGTGCCTCGGTCGGCGTTTTGGTCTGCTTCGGCCAGGCGCTGTCAGGTCAGACCGAGACAAGCGACCCCTGTAACTCCTCAGTCTACGTGACCTAAGAGACGTCACTTGGAAGCAGATGATGTTAGTTCGTGTCCCATCATTATTATTGCCCTCATCATGTATAACTAATAAATACCAACGAAAATATATCATCAATAACAACATATATGTATGAGAAGATTTTATATTTAATTAATTAAGATATATGCATTAAAGTTCCCCCTAATTCACAAGAAAATATTGACATCTTTAACAAGAGTTAGAATATTACTATTTAGATTATGAACAAATCAATGAATAGAGAAAGAGTATTTGAGTATTTGGATGAGTTGTAGGGAGAGTCTAATTCAATCACAAAGTTGGAAAGATTTCATTCCTTCCTTCGTCGAGAATCGCCCATCATCTTTCATCTTGGAGAGGGCTATTAGCAAGATGGATTTAACTATTATTAGTAATAAAATATATTTCCATTTCATAAAATAAAAATAAGAACACGAAAAGGAATTCATATTAGAAAATTTTATTGAAACAAAAAAAGAGAGACAACTCCATACTATTGAAACCCCTTCCGAAAGTAAGATGGGAGGAATTATCGTTGGGGATTGGAATAGATAAATTATCATTCAAAAGAGATAAAATCTTGAACTATAGGATAATAGGTTGATAAGAGCAATTGCCATTTTTTGAGTTATTCCTATTCTTTAAAAAATATGAAAGAGAAGTGTCGAAGAGAAACACTAGAAATAGAAAAGGATTTGCCCAAATGATGACCTTCATAGAGCCATTCATTCTGTGTTTGGAAAGAAAACCCCAATTTGACCATTACACATCCTTCAAAAACAATAGTAAAACTATATAAGTCTTTCAAAACATTTTCCAATAAAGCAATAGTGAACGTAGTAATGCAAGAAGATGGATAACTAAGCAAAAGAAAATTTCATTAAGACTCCATGCCACCTTCAAAATACTATTATTATTGAACTTGCTGAATAAATGAATATCTTTGATTTTTATGACGAGGGCTAAGTGAAAAATACTATTAATAAAGAAAGTATTTCAAGTGTCAACATAAATATAATTAAAAACATCACAAAGATGAGAAAAATCTCTTAAAAGAAAGTGGATCATTCCAAAGAAGAATATTTTATCTCGTTCCATCTAATTTTCTTATATTATTTTTAATAGTTATAAATACCGCCAAAAAACTACATGAGAAATACATTTTGATTTTACAAATTCTGAAATATCGCACTTAGTAATTAGAATATTAGACCATAATATTAAAAAAATAGATGAGACTCGAAGAAAATCATTTAGAGTTGAGCATGTCTTAAAAAAAAGAAAGTATCATTTAGATGAGACAAATAAATGTTTATAGAGATGATTTATCTCAAATAATGAGTTTTATTAGGTCCCCTTAGCTTTTTAGATAAGGGGAGTCCCCTTTACAATGAGTTTCGAAAATTTTATGTCTAAAAATATCGGTAGTATCACTGATATAGTAATATTTTACCCTCTTCATCTATTATCGTTTTCCAAGGAAATATACTTTTGCAACATTGCTCACATGTAAGTAATTACATTTAATTTCAAATAAAATTATTGTTTTATGGTCTGATCAGATTCCTCCCGGTTCAATCAGCAATCCATGAACCGGGTCAATTTCCGGTCCAATCTAAACTCGCTGACTCGACTCGGACGAGTCACGCGCCTCCGAATCCCTCTTCGGCGGAGGACGTCTACGTAATCAGACTTGATAACTTCGCCCCTATTTTTCTAAGACCTACTCCTGCCACTATTTTGAGCTGTTACACAAAATTACGTTTCGATAAGTGGTCACTTCAAGGTGGCAAGTTTAGGTGCACGTATCAGTGTTGATAACTTCACCCATAACTTTCTAAGAGCTACCCCTCTTCATCCTCTGAGCTTTTTGCTCAGATCACACAAAATAATATTTTTATTTCAAGATTACTTGTATATTTTCGAGACTATAGGAGAAAAATATAAAAATAGATGTATTACTTTAAAGTAATCCCTTACAATTAATTGTAAACAATAAACCAATTGTAAAAATAAAAATAAGAAATCCCTCCACAATTGTAAACAGTAAACCAATAAATTAAAATCAAAATCAAAATTAAAATAGTGACTTTTCCTCCTCCATTACGTCAATGGCGACACGGATTCGTTCATCAATTTCCAATTCTATTCCGATTCCGACTCCAACAGCCGAGTGATGGCAATCTCTCTGTATAAATATGGGGATTTCATCGACCTAACTGATCCATATAGTTGCTATCTTCCTTCTTCTCGTTCCTCATCTCTGCTGCCTCGGCGTCCGAAAGCGGAACAGAGTGGAAGTGCCAAGAGGCAGAGAAGATGGTCGAGACGAGACGTAGCGCCGCCGCCGGGAAGCGCTGCCCGACTTCGCCGTCCGTCTTGTCTGCGGCTCCCCCCAGCGCGAAGCGCCCAAAGGTGCGATTCTTGGCGCCTTGAATGCTTTTTTATTTGTGCCTCGGGCTACCAGATTCTGATGTTTCACGGAATCTCTCAGGTAGAGGCAGAGGTGCCGCCGCCGACGCCGGCATTGGGTAAGGAAGACCCTGTTAATGTCGAGGAACTTGCGCCGGCTCCTGTAGATGACGCTGTCGTCTCGAAGATGACTTCGCCCGATGACGCCCTCCCGGTGGTGATGGAGGGGGTTGCCCCTCCCGGATTGCCTTCCCGAGGTATGTTGTTCGTTTGCTCGTTCATGCAACCCTTTTCCGTTTGGCGCTTAGTTTTGAATTATCTATTTGTTCGTTCATGCCACCCTTGCTCCTATATTTTCTTTCGGGCTTAGTTTTGAATTATCTATTTTGTGTGGATATTTGATAGATCATGTGGACTGTTCTCTGCAATTAGATCTGCTGGTGGAACAAACCAACGAAGAGCCACCAAGTGCCGTCGAGTGGTGCAAGCTTATTTCCCTGTTCTCTCAGGTAGTTCGAATTGTTGGTTTTTTTTCTCTGATTATTCTTATTATTTAAGTATTGGTTTTCTATGTTCTTTGAAGGTATGAAAGCTCATGAGTGCATATGATTTCCTTGCGTACTTTAAAGGACCAATAATATCAGCGATCCACTGTAAATTAACTTCATTCTTGCACATGGCTTTCACTATCTCGGTATTGTTTTCGATGGGTAGAGATCAACTACCCTTATATATTGCTTCTTCTTGAGGTTTAGAAATAAACCTCACACTTGAAATGCTCCTCTCTTACACTTTATACTTGGGCTGAAGAATACTTGGGAACTCGTCTCAACTCACCAACTTGGTGAGGTATTTATATTTTATAGAGCTTCCAAACATCCAAAAGATAAAACAAATTAATCAAAATATTAAAAAAAGGGGTATTGACTGGTCTATCACTGCACCAGACTGTACTATCGTCAAACCACAGATTTGACATCTATTGGACTGTCTGGGACATGCCAGGCGATGCCAACAACTATCTGGGATGTACGACTGTTTGGACTGGGCATTATCATCACCCAATGGGCTACCAATACAACCTATAGACTAGCCCGTTGTTACTTGCACTTGTTTTACACTAATAAAGGCTCATTTTTAGCCCAGTTGCAACTCAATTGTGTCCTAATACTTGATCGAGGCTCTGATCGATGTCGAACAAGCCTTCGATACATCATCTGATCTTCTAACACATCATTCGATCATTCATCTCGATGCCTGATTCATCAACTTGACAATTGATCCTCCAGTGTTATGCATCCTTAGTCGAAGTATCTCCTGTAACTTTTATCTAAGAAACACACTTTATATTAGTTTCTCAAATTCATTATTTGATTTCATCATCAAATTATGAGATTTAAAAGTAATAACCTACAGTCTGCTGCCAGACCTTTGTTAGTTAGAAAAATATTTGGTTTATAGGTTCCTTGGACACAAGGACAGTTCCATTGTTTACTTCTTTTTCATTCTATGTAACAGAAGGCATTTTCTAGCTGGTGAATTAACAAGAGGGAAGTGGATAAGGTGGAGATAGTCCAAGATCTAGTGTGCAGGGGAGATGTGGTGATTGGGAGATTTGAAGATGTTGCTTATGTTTCTTTTTGTTTATACTCTCTTTTATTTTGTTTTTTTCCCTCTATTGGAGAAGGCTTAAAGTTGAGTAGAGGATGGGATTAGTTATGGTAGATGCTTCTTTATATGCTAGTCACTGCTTTTCATTTATCAAGTCTTTTCTTAAGTATTGACTTGGTAAATAATTTTATGTTTCAATTCTACTGAAAATTACATTTAAGTGAATTGGCATCATATGTGTCAAAGTAAACCAAATATTAAAAGTTTCATGATTGGGTTAAAGTGAAGTAATATTATATTCAGTAGATTTCCGTTTCTTATTCCATTCTTAAGAATATTTTCTTACAATTTTGTTGATGTTGACTAGGAAAGATAAAAGAAGAAATATTTTTATTTGAGAATAATTATTGCAACTTTGAAAGAGGAAATAATGAGAGAGAAGATATATATATATGTTCTAAGGAGACATATAGATGTTGTTACATGAGGTGAAACAATAGTGTTAATGGTGCGAGATGTAGAGGGAGACCTAAAAAGGTTATACTATAAATTATAAATAAAGATTTAAGGCAAGTTCATTGTTGCTGGAAGCTACCACATCTCTGATGGCATTTATTGTTTGAATGAGCTGATGGCGGTTAAGGAGGGCATCCTTTGCGCACTACAAGGAATCCAGGAATTGGAGTTTGAGTTCGACCTGTAAATTTTGATTAAAATTTTGAACACGGAGCTTGAGCCTCCTCAGCATTTTGTTAATAGCATTAAAGGCATATTTGGCTATATGGAGTGTTTTAAAGCTAGTAAGGTTTCACATGTTTATAGAGCAGGAAACCAGTGTGCCCAATGACTAGCTAATCAGGCCAAAGTTTCTAAGTCCTCTGATTTATGGAGGACTAATTGGCCTCCTGACTTTGTCTTTTTTTGTGCTGTGAGGAGCATAAGTTGGTATGTAATATACTTCTGAGTTAATATAATTTTTTTGAAGAAAAAGTACACTCTATTTGACTAAAGATATTACTTTGTACATTGTTCAGTGGTGGAAATTGACATATATAGCTGAGCCCGAATAGTTGATACACTATGGCTTGTTGTTGTTTCTTATCTTATTCATAATCTGTTACTGGTTATTTATCTGTTTGTTATCATGATTGTACCATGATAGTGCTGTCTCAAGTTTTGACTGAATTCTTCATTTTATTTTCTGTTTGAATTATTTTTAAAAATTGCTATATTTAAACCATAGTTGAGAAAAAAGATGCCTGTATATACATCAAATATCTGAGGACAAGAAGTTGAAGCATCACTTTAGAAGATTGATTCAGTTTTGCTTCTTTTGGTTTCTTGCTTTAGTCTTATCTGATGGTATTCTTATTGCATCATGATGTTTCTGTTTTTCTGCCTAGAATCCTTCCCATTCAATCTGCCGTCCCCAATTCACTGTCGGTCATAGCAAATTTTGTGATTTGCAATTGCATGATCCATCTGTTGGCACAGCTCTATGTGTTCTGAGGAAAGCAAAGGTACCATCTTGATAATTTTCTCTGGAGAGCTGTATGCTTCTTATCATAACTAATGTTTTTTAAAATTGTGACAGCATGATGGTGCATATGTTGCATTACTTGAAACTACTGGGGCAAAAGGACTTGTGCAAGTAAATGGGAAGACTGTTGATAAGGATTCTATTATCCTTGCTGAGGGAGATGAAGTTGTCTTTAGCAGACCAGAAAAACATATTTATGTATCCTTCCTCAGTTCTAACTGCATATTTCATAATTGTTAAATGTCCTAATAAATTGTCTCTCAGGACATCACATAAAACTGGAAGCAATTTAGTTTCCTTTTCTAAAAAAAATCCTTAAGATCACCTTTAGATGTTAAATTAATAAAAAAATCATTTATTTTATCTTACATGGCTTGCTGAGAAAGTTGTCTTGTTTCCTCTCCTAGTAGTTAATACTGATAGATCGTAAAAAGTGCATATCTACATTTTCCCCATTTCGGGAAGTTTCTTAATATATTTTCAGATTTATCAGAGACTTTCTGAGGTGAAATCGAGCACACCAATTTTACATACTTTACACCGTTCTTCAGAGGCAATGGATGGTTCTGCAGAAGGACCTAAATTTGCGGACAGAACTGCAGACCATGCAACAACTGCTGTAGTTTCAACGCTAGCATCTTTGTCAACCTTGAAGAAGGATTTATATGTTGTTCCTGAATCAGCAACTAGTGGTGAGATTATATTCATGTTATCTAAAGGCATACTTCCTTGTATCGAAAATGGTTACATGGATTTCTTTGTCAGATATGGTTTTTAGATGGTAGTATCTAACATGGTACATTTTAGGACACATTTGTTTCTTGTTTCACCAACTTCCTGCTATTAGACCTTAGAAAGTTTTCTTCAAAGCTTAGATTTGGTAAATTTTGCATGTCAAACTTCACTATTTTGTAAATTTTGCTTTGTTTTTTTTTTTTTGCAGAATCTTTAACTGAGTTGGAGTTAAGTACAGATACCCACAAATTCTTTGAGGATCAAAGGGAGGAATTTGACTCTCCAGCAAGTTTGCCATTAAGTAGATCCCAGGCATTTAAGGATGGCCGAAAACAGGGAATTATTGATGCTAGTGATATTGAAGTTTCTTTGGATAATTTTCCCTACTATCTGAGGTATTGTTTCTAATCTGCCAGTGTTATTAATAAGATTGCTTTCATGGAAGTCTAAAAGTTCTAATATTTGCATTCTCAGGGCCATGCAAGAAATAACTAATTAGCCCTTCTTTTTTTAGTTTTAGTTTAGGCATTATTTTTTTCTTTTCCTTCCTAAAAAGAATAAAGAAACACTAATGGTAACCCTTCGAGCCGACGAAATTAGTAATATTATTCGTGAGCATATTGAACAATATAGTAGAGAAATAAAGATTGTGAATACCGGTACCGTACTTCAAGTAGGCGACGGAATTGCTCGTGTTCATGGTCTTGATGAAGTAATGGCAGGTGAATTAGTAGAGTTTCAAGAGGGTACAATAGGCATTGCTCTGAATTTGGAATCAAATAATTTTGGCTTTGTATTAATGGGTGATGGTTTGATGATACAAGAGGGAAGTTCCGTAAAAGCAACATAACTGTTTTACGTCTTTGAGCACGCATGGATCCTTGGATTATACCCCGATTAAAATCTGGTTGTTGCGAATAACGTATCAAAGCCACCTCTTCTGCTTCTGCTTCTGCTTGATTATCTTCTCTTCTCTTGCTGTCACCTTCTCCCTCTCTTACTCTCACCCTCCCTCATTGTTCTTTCCTTCCGTGGCCTTCGCTCTTTCATTGCCAATTTTCTTGCCTCTGCCCTCTCTTCCTCTCACTTCTGTCTTCTCCCCCTCTTGCCACCATCTAACTCATGAGTCTGCTCGTGACTCGAGGCTTAACCTGATTGATGCCTGGTCCAATTTTGAAAATTATAGTATAATGTTATATTTTTATTTTCTAATAGAAATATCTATTATATTACAATTTTATTTTCTTTGATAATTTTGATAACTGTGAAATATGAAGGTAATATAATCTCTTAAGACATAATGTTCTTGATGTTCTTGGTTTTATTTCATAAATTTTTAAATGTTTAACTTTTTTTTTGTGATTTGGTGTATTTCTATTTTCAGAGTAATTTTCTTTGCTGAGCTTGCTTTTCCCATCTGATCTGATCTGTCCTAATTTATTGTCCATTATTGGTGTTGATCCTCATGCTGATTTGTGAACTTCATATGAGTAATTTCTGTACATAAAGATGTGTTATCTCAATTACATGTGTCTACATGGAGTTTCATCTAATCTGGTTTTTTGTAATGCAATGCTCATTAGTTATCAATTAAATTGGATGTTTTCTCTTTTTTGAGTTGGTGTGATTGCTTAGATGTGATAGTTAATATTACACCCACATCTACATATGCTCTTTTATTAAAAAAATGAGAAGTAGTACTGGATTTATGTAACTAGTAAACCTTAAGCTCTAAGATGATCTCGTGTATTTTGTCATGGTTAGCCTTTCCATTTTTTCACTCATTAATTTTAGCATTTTCTAGTGTATTTGGTTGTTACATGTGATTTTTAACTATAAACAGTGTGTATTCTCTAGCCATTGCTTAATCATCTTTTGTATAGTGCGAGGTCCTTTATAATATGTATCATAAGTAATGGTAAAATCTTCGATTGGACCAAACCTTGCTAACTTGTTTTCTTATTACAGTGAGAACACAAGACATCTTCTCCTATCATGTGCTTTTGTTCATCTAGAACGTAAAGAGTTCTTGAAGTATACAACAGAGATATCATCTTTGAGCCAACGTGTACTATTATCTGGCCCACCCGGTATGCAGCTTTGCTATCCTGTGATGTCTTAAGTGATTGCATTTTGCTGCCTGATCAAAAGATGCTTATTCTGCCAATCCATGTATAGGATCTGAAATCTATCAGGAAACTTTGGTAAAGGCACTTGCCAAAGAGTTTGGTGCTAGAATGCTCATAATAGATTGTTTTACACTGCTGGATGTAAGCTTCTATTCCTTTTTTTCCTCTCTTTTACAGTTGAATCATTTTTTCTTTTAAAAATGTTCTCGTAACTTCTACTCTTGTTTTTTTCCCCCTTTATAATTGAGTCTTTTTTTTTCTCTTTAAAATTTACATGTGGTCTATGCATTCATGAATTCTTTTCTACTGCTTTTACTTTCTTTTGCCTGCCTTGTGTCCAAGGCCTTTGTAACATCCCAAAGTTTGTCTACATTCTTAACAGGATGATGTTATAAAAAATTCTATTGAAGTTATTAATGTCTTGATAATGTATCAGGTACTTCCTTTGAAGGATTCAGAGTCCTTTAAAGAAGTTAAAAAATTGGATGAACCAAGCCTCCCTGGGAAGCAACACACTGCATTATCTGCTTGTCGGCACCGTAGGAGACAGGCTTCTAGTGTTGAGGCTGATATCATGGGTTCATCTCTCTATGACCTTGAATCTTCAGTAAATCAGGAGGCATCAACTGCTTCATCAAAATCCTACCCATTCAAAAAAGGCATTTTTTTACTTTACTCTTTATCGTATTGAATATTTTTTAAGTGATCAATCTTCTCAATTTTAGCTCCATATCTCAAAATGGTTAATTTTGACAATGGCTTATCTAGGTGATAGAGTAAAGTATGTGGGTTCAATGCAATCAAGAGAAATTCCTCTAGGCCCAAGGTTTTGTTCTTACTCATCCTCAATTATGATTTTTAGACTCCAACACTATTCTTTTTCCTACTTGTGAAATTCTTGTCAATTTCTTTTTATTTCGTTTTATTGTAGATATTTTATCTAAATCTTTTCAATTTATCCAAACTTCTTGTCAATTCTTGTCAGATATTCTATTAGATATATTGTGAGAAATGAATACAAGTAGATAGTGACAAATTTAGAATCTGTAGAATCTAAAGATTCTAAATGTATCAGTTCATAAATGGATCTGCACATACGATACTGGCATACTATATGATGGTCTGTTGGTACGTATTGGTTTTCAGGAAAAGAAAAAATAATTGAAAATTCACAAAAAAATCATTTTTTAGGTTTTCTATTGTAATTTAATGATAATTATATTAAATTTAATTAAGAATAGAGTGTATATGAGGAATAATAAATATATAAAACAGTGATTAACTCTAAATACCCCCAATTTGGGTCTAAATGTAAGACAATAGACCTAATTGGGACTAATTCAAGAGAATGACCTTAAGCATGTTTAATATCTGTAAATATGCATTAATACGACTCTAATTATATGCAATGATAAATAAAACATAGGAAGAAGTTAAATACCTTCAAATTGGAGAGAAATTCCACTAGATTTTGAGTTCCATCCCTTTTTTATTCAAATGAATACTTTGATTACCAGTAATTGCTGATTAGGAACCTTAGTCACAAGCAAGAGTGTGAGAAAGAGTGATAATAAGAGAGAATGAGAGTAAGCGAGTGAGTGAAAGGGAGATGTAAAGTCACAAAAGAGGCCCCAATAGTGAATTTGATCGTTTGGGTCAAGCTTGACCCGATTTGAGTTGGTATTAGTCAAATTCTGATCGGAACTGACTCGTATCAGCCGATACAACACGCGTTTCGACCATATTGGTCAATATATCACCCTTTTCCTGTGTGTACCGCTCGAAACAGGTTGGTCCGCATATCGATCAGTTGGCAGACCAGTACATACCCTCGTTTTGTACCATTTCGGGCTTTAGATTATGGGGCATAGTTGTTTTATTGCAAAATCTGGATATTTTTGTTTTAAAAATAGCGATGGAACTCATTGTGTCTCCAATGCTTGTCTAATCACATGCATGTAAAGGATTCATTTAGGTTGGATCTGGTCTCCTGAATAATTCATGATTTATGTAGGTGATAACGAGTCAAGCTAGGCTCAGTCCTATAAAAGGCCAAACTCCGCTCAACTTTATAAAATTGTTAACCTGGCTAAGCCCAAATTACAAATGCATAGGGTCATCAGCTTGAAATATTAAGACCCTGGCTTAGCCCAGACTATAGCAAGCTGTTGCACATTAATTTCCTTGATGACCTGAGTTTGCTATTTGGTCCCTGCCATACACCCAAACTTTGAGATGACCACATCTTTCCCTGTGAGAGCAGCGTGACATTACTTAGTAGAGCTTGCATGTGGTGAAGCAAGAATGGGTAGCTTGGAGGTGAGTGGCAGGTAGTGACGATGAGAGATAGAGGCTAGAGGTTAAGTTTGATGAAGATGGTCAAGGACTATGTAGCTACAAAGATGGTAAAAAACCAGGTTGCTGCAGAATCTTTGCAGTGTTGTAAGGCTGGTGAGGCTTACTTAAGTGGCAATTTCTCTTTAGGCGCTAAGAAAGATATAATTATCATGTTCATAAATGTGGGAAAGCATGATCGTTTATTTGCATAAACTTTCCTTCCTAAGTTTTTACTTGTTTATTTAGTTAAGTACTTTGAATTTCTTGTGTGGTTTATTTCTTGCTTCACAGAGTAGCAAGTAGAGTTCAAATGATGGCTAAATTTTTTTTCTTAGATAATTTGGTCTCAGATTGAAGAAAGAGTTAAGATTGCCCTTATAGCCAAACTTCTTTGTATGTCTTTGAAGTTTGTGATTTTGAGAAGCAAAAGGGTTAAAAGTAATCTTATAGCCAAACTTCTTGGTATGTCCTTGGAGTTTGTGATTTTGAGAAGCAAGTTGGACTATTTTTACTATTTAAGTATTCAATTATACTTTTTAAAGCTTCATATGAAGATGCTATTGGTATTGTTTTCTGTGTCACCGGGTTCATTTTTTTGCTATATTTATATACAGAGGTCCAAATTATGGTTATCATGGAAAAGTAATCCTTGTGTTTGAAGAAAATAGATTCGCCAAGGTTGGAGTTAGATTTGATAAGCCTATTCCTGACGGTAACAACCTTGGGGGCCTTTGTGAAGAAGACCATGGCTTCTTTTGTACTGGTAGATTTCTCAACTATAACATCTTGGATTCTTTGATGAAGCAATGAGCCACCTCATATTTTCACTTCAGAATTAAACTTTCTGCTGTCTTTCTCTTATTTTTCTCTTGTTCAGCTGACTCTATTCGCCTAGATACTTCTATGGATGAAGAAACAGCAAAACTTGCATTAAATGAATTATTTGAGGTGGATCCCAATTTTCTTTGTTTCAATTCATACTTTCTGTTCTGTGAATTGTTCTTAACTTCTTACTGTGGACTTTCTTTCTGACCTCAGTTTGTATCCGAAGAATGCCAACATGGCCCTTTAATATTGTTTCTCAAAGACACTGAAAAGTTTGTGTCAGCTAGTACAGATATATTCCTATTTATGAAGGGTAAGATTGACTCCTTGCCAGCAGGTGTTCTTGCTGTCTGCTCTAGTACCCAGATGGATTGCCACAGAGAGAAGGTAATTCCATCTTTTAGTTATCTGATTTTATGACTGGTTTTTTTCTATCTGCTTTGGCCAATTAGAGGATGATATTGACTGTAGTGTATGTGCTTCAGGCACATCGTGGCGGTCTTCTTTTTACAAAATTTGGACGCAACCAAGCTGCAATGATTGATTTTGCTTTCATGGTAAAGTTTAGTTTTCTCTCGAGGAAATCTGATGTGCTATTATTTGTCATATTTTTGGTACCTACTCCTGTCAAGATTTCTTCTATGCATTCTAGGAGTTATTTATGGTACATGGTTAGATAACATCGTTCTTGATTATTTAGTTCCTTTTTGGAAGAGTTTTCAATTGTTTGTTGCAAGGTTTTGAATATCGTATCGTACTGGTGTATCGATCAGCTATCGTCGGTATAGCACATACCGAGCTTGGTACACTAAGGTGTACTAATGTACCATCCATATCGGTCTGATAGCGGATCGATACGTACCGCCTGTACTGAGCAGTATGGTACGGTATTGCAAACCATGGTTTGTTGACAGTTCCCCAGTGGAATAAGATTGAATTGTCTCTAACATCGTGCTTTTTAGAATTTGTGTTGTGATAGAAAATTTATTATTATTGTCTTTTCCTTAATCATGTATTCAATGGTCAGGTTCAGGAAATTACCATTCAATTGTTGAGCTAACCCTTCAGGATCAATATAATATCTGAAAATAAGTAAAAAGTTATTAGTCGATAAATCAAAGTTATGTTGGAATAGTATGGCCTATTAAAAATTCAGTATCTTTTCTTCCTTGATTGACTTAAAAAATGTTAGCTTATGTAAAATCCCATTATGTGAAACTTTAATATATTAGCAATTGTTGGCAAAAGTTGTACAAGAATTCTCGTAAAAGAAAAGAGTGCATGAGGAGGATTTGAAGGATGTTAGGATTGAGAAGTTCATGTAAGTCGACAAGAAGGTTTGGCACAATGAATAATAAGATTAACAAAAAAAATAGATTTAAGCCGGTGATAGGGAGTTATTATATGTTGTCTAAATGGTATGGCTTGGCCTCCCAAGTTGGTTGAAACGAAGAAATGTTGTTGTGTTGACTATCCATATGTATCGTTTGGTACCAACGAAAAAGAACCAAAAATGGCCCACAATTTAAAATAATCCTATTTTAAGGGATTTCTTCTATTTCTTGTATATAAATTATATTTAGATAAGAATATAATGTATTTAAGCCATAGATAAATAGGATGAAAATTTATCTTTATCGTTTTGGATCCATTGAGGAATAACTTTGCCTCATGGTCCTTTGTTGAATTTGAATTACCTATAAAGTAAAGAGTTAATATGTTAAATTAGGTGTCAATACTTTAAGATTTGAACAATACAAACTATTGAGATAACATTTATATATATTTGCTCCTTGATCCTATGAAATTATATGTCGATATGATAGGTTTGTCATACCCAATCTTGGAGCAACACTAGGTATTGTAATGGGAATCGGGTGCCATTGATGCTTCAATATGGTAACAATTGTTGCCTCATCACTATTGACAACATGTGTTTGAGGAGCCTCCTTAGGTAAGTATGATTAGGATATGTAGTGCCACGAACATTGAAATCAGGCATAGAAATGATCAAACTTGGAAAAAATTAATCAATTATTGTCATACATATATTGGCCATAAGATCCTTTGTGATATGATAGTTGTGAATATGATAAGCTCCTATTAGCATCAACATTGTAGAGACTCTATTGAGCTTTGTTGAGCATCGACTGTATTTCTCTTTCCTCTATCCTTCCAAACATAAATGATATTAGTGGACCCTCGAGTTTCGTGATTTGAATCTTGGGTAATATGTGTAAAGTGTTTCTTCACTCATGCCCCACCCTTAGACTAAGTGGGCTATCGTTGTCACCACCATAGGTTGATAGACTACCTTGATGTCTCCAAGGACCTCACAAATCTTGATTATGAAGGAGACAGGGTCTCGTTACCAACCTGAAACTATTGCTCGTCAATCCTTGTCGCACCTTTCCCCTTCCCCTTCATATGTTTGGTGGATCCTAGCCTGAATTGCCATGACCACTACTAGATCGACTCTCCAATGTGCGGCTATCGTGTTTTGACATAGAGCACTCCTCTTCCTATTATTGATGTTGTTCCTCTTCTATAAGCTTCGTGGTGAAACGAGATGGACGTAGAGGGCCTCCAGCCTTATTAAGCAAAGGATCACCTTTTGCGCGCTTAGGTTCTCGTCACATTGAGCCATTCCAAGATTGGTTGAGAAACTTCGTTGTAAAAGTGGATATCGTAAGGATCAATCTTTGGATGGTTTGTTTTCTTGTGGAGGTCAACATATCACAACCTCAAACACATATTATAGCACATATACACAAGCTTCTCGAGGAGAACGTTGACCAATTATGTTTCCATCCACTCGATAACATTGATGAAAGCATGCTGACTACAACCTTTTATCCAAATCAAGAGGTTGATTTTTATCGATTGTCAATTAAAAATATTAAACAAGTGAGAGTATGAGAAAGAGGGAGAAATAGAGTGAGAATGAGAGTGAAAGAGGGGGAGGATCCAAAGGGCCAAAACGGGACCCAACAATTAATATGACCATTGGAACATGGTTTGACCCAAGAGGAGATCTGTACGATTGAAATCCGATCATTATTGATCTGTGTCAATCGGTGATAGTTGAGTTTCGACCATATTGGTCGATTCAAGAGGTATACTAACTGGTATGCCACCCATTATTGCATCCACTTGAAATAGGCTGGTCCATGTACCGGTCAACTGGCAGACATGTATGTATCGTTTGTTTCGAACTATAGGGAGTGGTACATCAAACCATGGTTGAAACTAGTAAAAGATTTTCTTAGAAACAGTATATTGTAATCAATACTGGCATAGCAAGACTCGACATGGTTCACAAGACTCTCCTTGTGGTCAAAACATGATAACTTGATGTTACATAATTATAACTAATAAATGTAAATTGAAAGCTACTATTACAATGAGAAAACAAACCTAAACACCATGAGTGTGATCTTGAGTACAATTTTGAGTTTTTAAAGTGCACATAATTCATTAAACATGAGTGGTTGGGATATTAATAGTACAGATTCATAAACATGTAAGTCTTGGAAAAGAATGCTACAATATTGGTTAGATATGTTAATTTAAGGCCCTTTCACATATAGGCAATATCTGATAAAACATATGGAAAGAAATTATTTATAAGAGAACTGGAATGCATCCATATGTATATACTTATTTCATCACATATGATCTCAAAACTGTCAAGATCCTAAATTATCACAACCTTGTCAATGCTAGTTGATGGGATCTCATTGATTCTCTCATGTTTAGAAGAATGAAATATAGAAAATGATGAGAGCAATAGGATTAGGGGCAGTAGATAGAAGATGAGAAAGCGATCAGAAAGATGAGAAATTAGTTTTTTTTTTTTTTTTTTTCAAATTTTGCCACAAGGATTCTTTAGCTGGATTTATAATGGATGCTTGATTCTAGGTGTCTTTGCAGGATCTTCCCGTGTTTGTTTGCTTTCTATTGTCTTCTTTATGGAATAAAGAAGGTTTTCTCCAATATTTGTGTAGATGTACCTTAGCCTTATTTGTGTAGGCAGAAAGATTATTTACATTGTTGACTCCTTTCTATTCCATTTTTTTTCCACTTAGAGCTCGTTGTTGAGTTCCAATTAAAAAGCACAAGGAAATATTTATAAATAACTTTTATAATTTGATGCGAGAATTCATAAGCCTAATCTATGCATGTTTTTTGGGTTTGTCAATTTAATGTGGCTCTCGATGATCCCAAGGATGTTAACAAGGTCTACCCTGTTTCAAGCCCATGTTAATTAGTGAAATTACTCTTCCTAAATTTCCTTCAACCATCATATGCATATATATACTACACACACGATATATATATTATATACATATATATATGTATATATATATACATATATATGTGTATATATATATACATATATATGTGTATATATATATATATATACATATATATATATATATACAAATATATATATATATATATATGTATGTATATATATATATATATATATGTATGTATATATATGTATATGTATATATATATAGACACACACACACACAGTTTTTGTGCTAGTTTGGTCAGGGTTAATTCTTTTAGATTAGAGTTATGGAGATAAACATTTGGAACTGCAGGCTTTACACTAAGTTGGACTAAGACTGTATATTTGAAATATATGTTCAGTAATACCACAAGATGAACCAAGGATGTAGTTAAGATGGATGGGCATTCTTGTAGGTAAAAAACTTTGGTATATTGGATGTATTATCCAATAGCAAAGAGATTGATTAAATCATTGTTCATAAGACAATTTTAATTTAACAGTTACAATGGAGAGAAGTTCAAGTTTTATTTAACCATGGATTAAAGGGAAACTTTATAAGACAATTTAAGTTTTGACATGGTTTATCAGTGGGAGTATTGGATGTTTAATGATATGCACTTTAGTGGATAAAAAAAATATAATGTTGAGGTGGATGTGCATGTCTACCCAAAAAGATTATATAATAAATATTTTATTCATGAAAAACTAGGTGTAACCAAAAGTACCCAACAAAAAAAAACATGCAGGAAAACTATTTAAGACACTACGAACATATCCAAAGAACGATCCTCAGGTTAGACAAGATGAATTGATTAGGATTAATTAGGACTAGTGGTGCAAGGAGTGACTTTGAGAATACTTTACTAGAAACCATAGGTAGATGTGTGACCCCTCAATTTAACTGTGGATATTCACCTGCATAGAGGTTGATTTTACAAAAAGATTCATTATCTGATCCTAAATAGTTGGGATATTATTAGTTGTTGTCATTGTTGCACTTAAACTTAGATTACCTAAGGGCAAAATGGTTTTTTTCCAATGTGATTTGACTTGAAATAAACTCAGGTTGAAGGAAATAGACAGACAGGTTGATATGAACAAAAGAAATATGAGGGAGTATCATGTAAAATATTAGTGTTTATGTACATATGTACCAATAAGAAAAGTTTTGAGAATGAAGTTAAGAATAGAGGATCATGTTAATTATGCAGTCCCTGTTGCTAAACCTTGACAAATTGTTGGATATTCATTCGTCACGTGGTACAGTTTTTTTCTTGGGGCCTTTAGGCATATGTAGCACTTTAACTTTGTTTTGTGTTTTCTTAAAGCATACATAGCACTTATTGCAGTTGATTATGTTTCATGGCATGCTACAGTCTAGGCAATCATGCAGGTAGTTTATACTTGGCAGTGGAAATCCTTTTTTCCAAACATGAAGTTATACTTCAACAAGTTTTTTTTTACTTCACTGATTTCCTCCAAGACATGGAGATGGATGTTAGCTACTTGCAGTGGAGATCTTATTTTCCAAACACGAAGTTATACTTCAATAAGCTTTATTACTTTGTTGAGTTTCTCCAAGACAAAGATTTGGATGTCACCTATATGGTTGCATGTCATTTCACATTTGGATACTCTTGAGATGCTTGAGTAATATTTTATGGATACTTTTTCTGAGGCCTTAATTTTTCTTGAATTTTATTTTTTTTAGATTTTACAAGATATAGTTTTAGATATGTTGTTTTATGTTTACTTCAACCACTCATAACTGAAACACTTTGCTTTCTTGCATGTGCTCTTAAAATCAGCATGGAAATTCTTTTTTCTAGATTTCCTTGTTTTGGTGTTTAACTTATTTTTAGTAAAATTGCAGGATAGCTCCACTAGGCTGCATGAGAGAAGCAAAGAAAGTTCGAAAACAACGAAGCAACTTGTAAAGATTTTCCCAAATAAGATTATCATCCAGCCACCTCAGGTATATTATTTTTAAAAAGATTCATTCCTTTTTTTCTCTTTCTTTTTTGTAGAAAGATCAAAATTAATCATGTGTAAGAATTTTCAGGATAAAGGACATATTTTAGAATGGAAAAAGAAGTTGGATCATGATGCTGAAACACTTAAAGCCAGGTCCAACATTCTAAACATCCGGCTTGTAAGTTCATTAATTTTTAGACAATCTATAACAATTTCTACAGAACATATTTGATAAACTCAGCTAAATATCCTGTTTTGATGTTTTCAAGTTTTGGTTATTGTTAGTCTTTTATATGATTGCATCTCACTTATCTTATTGTAAAAGCTTCTGCCATATTTGATATCTTGGCAAATCAAATTTTTGGTTGTCTTCTTTGTATAATATGAGAAAATCAGGGTAATCCTCTTATACCATATGCTTCTGTAATCACGTATTCTCTTCATATGGTTATGTTTATGGCTCGCTTCATATTATTTTGACTATTTTGGTGGAGATGTGAGAGGGCACCGGTCAGTTGATGGACCACTATATTATGTTTGTGAAGACTGGTCAGTTTTTAAATATATTAATTTCTCGAATTATTGTAGTAGAAATGCTTCAAAAAATTTACTCACCAATATTTAATGCTTTAAGCAGACGAACTGTTGGGCACATTTGCAAGAATGCTAGGACAGATATGGGAAATATAAATGTTTCTCACAGCAACATGTATTTTGTGACATTATTAGTCCTTGTTTTGGACCTTTTAGTTATGCAAAATGTTTGCTGAAAAGTTAAATTTGAATGCTTGTTGAGGGATTACCAAGATGTCATGGCAATATTGCTCCTTTGAGCTATGCGTGTCAGGATTCAAGTCACCAAAATAGCCTCTCCACATGCATAAGACTGTATATTCAACATTTCAAGCCTCTTCTGACCCTTGTGGGGAACTTGTAAACGTGGCTCTCTGAAGCATTGACACATACTTTTGGTGGACATATCTATGTTGGACATGTGTCGAACGATACATCGTCGACACATGTGTCCAGCCATATATTATTTATTTATTTATTTATTTATTTTCATTTGTATTTGTGGGATATGGCACCGCTCCTGCACTCTTCATCGTGTGACCGTCGTGTGTGGCACTTCTCTCACATGGCCCTCACGATTCTGTGTGGAAATAGATCGTCAGTATCACAAGGAAAGAAATCTAGAGATCATCACAAAGAAACATATATCAATTACAATTGGAGTCTCTTTGATACTCTATGAAATGCATTGTCCTCGTGTCCATATCCTAATTTTTTAAAAATGCTGTGTAGTCGTGTCAGTTTTCGTGCTTCTTTGACTTGGCTGTTCTTTTCAAACCATTGGTGGGAGATTGTGCACCAGGCTGCATTTTTTTATTTTTTTATTTTGATATTGTACTTTTGTATGCGTAAGAATCTTTATGCTATCACACAAAAAAAAATTGTTGAGTAATCATGTGAAAAACAGAAAATGGAGATAACATTTTAAGTAGGTTTAGTTGCTCGGCAGATCAAAAACACTTTTTTCAAGAAAAAAATAGAGCAGTTGTATGTTTGGAGTTGATTTATATTTAGACTATAGTATATGTGTTTGCTCAATGGGATATAAATGTGTGTTATGCACATTGATTTTATATTCTTAAAATTTTGCAGTTCCTTAATCGCAATGGATTAGAGTGTGATGATCTTGAAAAGATATGCATGAAGGATCAAACACTTTCAAGTGAAAGTGAGTGGTTTAGTTCAAAGTTCCCTCCATTTTTCTGTTTTATATCATCTTTAATAGGTATATGTTCCAGGTGTGGATAAAATAATTGGTTTTGCTTTTAGTCACCAACTTAAGAACACATCTGAAGCATCTGGAAAGAAAACAAAGCTCATTCTTTCAATGGAAAGGTTGTCTATTCTTCATTATCTATATTGCTTATATTTTATAATATATAACTACAAGTAACTCTAGCTATTTTCTCACCCTTCAGCATCCAGCATGGTCTCCATATGCTGCAAAGCTTTCAAAGTGGTTCAAAGAGTACCAAAAGATCACTCAAGGTGAGATGGTTCTCCTTTCTTTTCTCATATGCATGCATACATACATTCAATGTGAGATGGGTATCTCCTTTCTTTTCTCTAGTAGCGGTTATGCACCCAAAATTATATATGTGTGTGTGTGTGTGTGTGTGTGTGTGTGTGTGTGTATACACATATATATTCATTGTTTTCTTTATCTCTTCCTAATACAATTTTGTTGAGCTAAGAATCTGTTAGGTAAATTCATTCTCAAAAATGATTTCTTTAGATAATTTTTCTCAGCATTTAGTGCAAAGCCCTGTTCCAACATAATAAGAAATTGACTTATCATTATCTTTGATTTCCTTTTTCCAGGATGTGGTAACTGAGAACGAATTTGAGAAGCAACTTCTTGCTGATGTCATTCCTCCTAATGATATTGGAATTGCATTTGATGATATAGGAGCTTTAGAAAAAGTTAAAGACACACTGAAGCAGTTGGTGATGCTTCCTTTGCAAAGGCCAGAATTGTTCTGTAAAGGACAATTGACAAAGGTATATTAATATATTTTAACAATTTTTGAGTTGTTCACTTGCCAGGTGCAAAGTTTTCCCTTTGTTCCATAAGGAGCTTGCTGGTAACTTGATTATAGTTTTATATGCTTCCTTTAGAATTCTTTTTGAAAGTCAAAACTATGCTGATAGAGTCTGACTGTAGAATTGTAATCAGAGAAGGGCATACAAGTAATTCAAATAATTAATTTCTTAGCATGAACCTAGCAGACTGTTCTTGACATTATGATTTTATCGGTCTATAATACTCTTGCGTTCTCATTAATGCTAAAGCTAATTTCTATATGAATTCTTGTTCAAAATTTAGTTATTTATGGTCAGCTTCGTATTATAATTTAGTAGATGAGCAACTCACCATGCCTCTGCATGCAACTGCAAAGCTGCAAGAAATATAAGCATGCTGCTCTTCTTGAGATAGCTGGGTGTGAATATCCAAGCTATTGCTTAGAAGAAAAAGAAATCTCTAGTTTAATCTCTTGCTGTTGAGCATGATTATGGATTTGCTTTGTTAATATTTTATATGCTGTTGATACTTCTTACACTATTGTACGTTATGCTCTTTATTCTTTTAGACATCTCTTTATTTGTTTACATGGAAGTGCGTTTTTTAAACTAAGACTATGGCTCCTCTCCTTAAACTGGGGTTCCATAGAGTGCATTTCATTAAGCTAGCCCATCTTAGATCTCTATCTAAGTGCAACCAGATATGTAACTTAATGAGCTTTGGTATCTGATCCAATCACAAAATCTGCCTCCTCATTCTGTACTAGCTTGGACTTAGTTCTATTTAATGGACTTGCATGCTATTACCTAACAAATCTTTAGCTGATCCTTTTATGAATTTCACTACTTTTCTTTTTCGAATTTCACTTTTGTTTATCCAATGTGAAACTTCAAGCAATATATTTGCTCCTTTGGACCTGAGCGAACAGAATTTGAATCATACAATTTTTCCTTCGCTTGCAAAAGTAATAATGCATACATTGATCATCCCAAAATCCCACATTGGTTGGAGCCTCGTGCGCTAGGACGACCCTTTTTTGTCTATATTGTTATGCAGTCCCAGATTGTTGAGAAAAAGGCTTGCATAGGACTTGACTACTAAAATATTAATTTGCTGATTCATAATTTATTATAATGAGGACAGGCTAGTTTACTTTCCATCCAGTAGGAAAATATTTATGTTCTTGAGTCTATTTCAGTTTGGAGTTGGTTCATGATTCCATAACCTTAGCAGCAGTTTTATCAAGAATTTTATATTGGATCCTTATTCAGTTGGTACGCTAATTTTTGTTGCTTGTATTATGTTAATAAACTTCCTAATTTAAATTAGTTTAGTTTCTAACTTGATCAAAAATGAAAATTTGTCATAGCCATGTAAGGGGATACTGCTCTTTGGTCCTCCTGGTACAGGAAAAACAATGCTCGCTAAAGCTGTTGCTACAGAAGCAGGTGCAAACTTTATCAATATATCCATGTCGAGCATAAGTTCAAAGGTAAAGTTGTATTTATAAACTATCTGATAATTGATAATGTATTTGTTTCTTTTCACTTCTAGCTATATCCAATTTTCTATTTGAAACAGTGGTTTGGCGAAGGGGAGAAATATGTGAAAGCAGTGTTCTCACTAGCAAGTAAAATTGCTCCCAGTGTTGTTTTTGTGGATGAGGTCAGCTAAATATTTAGTCTGAAGTCAATTGATGTTTCTTCAACTGTTATGCTAGGATTTCATTATTGAAGTCATCTTATGAAGCAATAGATATTGATATATGTTCTCATATACTGTCTTTTGAATAGATTTCCTGATGAGTTATTTGCTTATAGGTTGACAGCATGTTGCGTAAGCGTGAAAATTCTGGAGAACATGAAGGCATGCGGAAAATGAAAAATGAATTTATGGTAAACTGGGATGGTTTACGCACTAAAGATAAAGAACGTGTGTTGGTTTTAGGTGCAACCAATAGACCCTTTGACCTTGATGAGGCTGTGATAAGGAGGTTTCCACGAAGGTAGAAATTAGTCTATTGTTTTCAGTTTTGCCAAAGATGTATCTTCATGTTATTTTGTTCCTTTTTTTGACAGATTAATGGTAAACTTACCAGATGCTTCCAATAGAGAAAAGATACTTAGAGTAATATTAGCCAAAGAAGATCTAGCGCCAGATGTTGATTTAAAAGTTCTGGCAAGTATGACTGATGGATATTCAGGAAGTGATCTGAAGGTTTGTGTCATCATTAATGACGTTATTTGGACTGTCATTTTCAATCGTTTCTGTGTCCTTTTTGGTTCAAAGAAAATTTCTTATTTGATACACCTGTCAATTACAGAATCTGTGTGTTGCTGCTGCACATTGCCCCATTAGAGAACTCCTAGAAAAGGAAACGAAGGTTTGTTACCAATTCAAGCTAACACTTTTAGTTGCTTTGCGCTATGTATATTTTCATTCTTTGTTGTGCTTAGTGGTTTCCTTTGACATTAGTGACATTGTTTTTGTTTCTTATCTTGTACTTTCCATTTGACTTGTCAAGGACTACTTGTCACAATTTTTGTGAAAACAACTTCTGCTTGTTTTAACTACTAATCATAAGGAAGGTTTAATATCATATCTCCCTGCAGTAAGTGCATAAAAGGCGGCATATAAATAGACATTTTTTCTTCTTTTTTTTTTTTGCATATTCTGTTGCACATTTTGGCATAAAATTGTCATAAAACACAATGCTAACTTGATTAGTGCAAATTTTAGGATCTTCACTTTTGCAGGTCAACTAGCACTTTATTGTATGAATTTTTAAGGTAAAAGAGTTACCTTGGAGAGGTGCTAATAATTTTATTATATCAACTCTAGTTGTTTGGGATGAGTTTCCACAGCTTTGTTGACTCATTCCTTAAAAAATGGTGGGTCGTGACTTTTCATTGTTCTTTTAAAGGAAACCTTATAGTTTTGTTCTTCTTGAGGTTTATATTCTTAATTATTATTTATGTCCAATATTTCTAAGTGATTATAATGAACATCTGGAGATATGTTTGTGTCATTGGATACTTTCTGTATAATTTAACCAAGTGGATGAAGACCAAGGGCAATCATTTCTAAGAGACCACCATTTTCTTGTTAGTCTGTCAACGAGTATCTCATTGGTTTCTCCAAATGTGAGGGGGAGCAAGCGAGGTTTTAACTTTCTTTGAAAAAGAGATGTAAACTAGCCTGTTGCTTCCTGTACTTGTATAATCTATGAAAGTGACATGCTCGCCTCTTAACACTCTGCCCTATTGCTAACATATATGGGATGAAATTAATTACACCTGACATGGGAACACAAGATTGATGACCATTATTGCCATCAATGTTGCATGGCGATGAGCCACTGACAGATTCAGAGGACTCCCAAGGACAATTGGGAGTACCTTCAATGTAGTTGTGCATAATGCTACTGAATTTTTTCCTTCGTTTTGACTTTTCCACTAGGGAATTTAGGAGAGTTGTTCCAGGCAACTCCCTCATTTGGTTGTCTAAATGATGGTTTCCTTGTCTAAATTTAAGTTTCCAGGCAACTCCCTCATTTGGTTGTCATGCTTGGCCAGAATTTTGCACCATTGACCAAATTTGATATTTTTGCTGTGGTGTTTTGGATTTGAGTTGTGTTCCATAAACAACTTGAATTGATGGGAAAGTTTTGGCTCGTGATGATGACTTTTTTTATTTTTTCTGCTTTTGTTTTGTTAGGCCAAACATTAATTTGTTCGATGGTACTTTGCTTTTCATCTATGATTCATTAATTTACACTCTTTCCATCTGTAGGATAGAGATGCAGCTTTGTCTGAGGGCCGACCATTACCTGCTTTGCATGGTAGTGATGACATTCGTGCTCTGAGAATGGATGATTTTGAATATGCACATGAACTGGTAAATTTTTTTTTTATATTTTAACATGCATGTTTAATTTTTTTCCTTACTATATCGAGATGCTCTGCCACCTCACTACTGAACTACTTTTCAGTCTACCACAACTATACTACACCCTTCTTCCGTTGCAGGCACATCTATACCTAACATGACCTTTCATGAAATCTAGATAGCATCTTTGCCCTTGATTCTCTCATTGATCCCCATGTCATGTTTGTTGGTCCTTATATTCTCTACATCATTACCCCTCAACTTAGTGTAACAAATGCTCAGTGTGACTATTCATCTTGAATGCATGCTTGCTAGATATGTGTTTACTAAAATCACAATTCAAAGTGCTGATTTGCTGTTATTTTCTAATTTATTTGGATTTTTTTTACCTTATTTTTCTCTAACTCATTCGGACTTACCAGATTGCATATGCTTCTTTCTCTCTAAGTCACAGTCGTATCCTTCTTTTATGAATGTCGTATCAAGTTTGTCTAAGTATGACTTCCCTGTGTGCATGATTAATGGATCTCCCTAGTGACAAGGTATATGACATCTTGTAGCAACAAAAAAAAGCTTGAAAAAATTGCAAAATGAGTGTCATTTTGTTTACTTGTTTCTTTATTCGTTTGGGAATATATATGGATAACATCATGGTGCTCATGTAGGTTTACTGTAGTGTTTCAACTGATTCCTCCAACATGGCCCAGCTTCACGAGTGGAATGAGCTGTTTGGGGAAGGCGGATCGAGGAAGAAACCGGAACTCAGCTATTTCATGTAGTAGAGTAATCTTATTTTGTACAGGAATGGTTATATTGCTATAGATGCCAATTCTTTTCAAACTCATATAATTAATTTACAAATCCTGAGTCATTTTAGGTCTATTCATTTAACAAGATGTAAGTTAATATTACTTGTTAGGAATTTGAGTCATTGTAATTTTTTACATGACAGAGTCATTTGCAAAGTCGATAAACTTTCGAAACGATGAAAACAGGATCAGTTTTATTAAATTTGCCCTTTTGATTATAAATGTTGATTTGCAATGTGCTATGATTATTGTTTGTTTTTGCGTTTTTCTTTTTTTCTCTTCAATTTGCCTAGAACATTGGAACTGCTAAATAGAGTGAATTTCTGGTTTTTTTCTTCTATTTCTCCAATATTCTCAATGGCTTTATCCAAGAACAATATTACCATCTCCCAGTCTGCATTGCATGTGTCATCATACAACATATACGAATCTTGCAAGCTCTCAAACCTGTTCATTATCCCCCTGGAAAGAATACATGCAAATGTTGCCGTATGCAGTACTCAACCCTAAATAGGATATTTATAAGCTAAAGGAAAATAATTGAAAATTATTATATTTCTTTGAAAAACAAAAGAAGAGTTCTCAGTGATACTCATCTTTTAAACGGTATGACTGCATTCACATTTATGTCATTCTTTGGATTTAGCACTGTTTAATTACACTTAATTTTGAAGAAGACCCCTAATCATTCATGCTATTATAGTATGGCCTCAAGTGTAATGATCTCTTTTTAATGCATTTGACACTTGTTTGGCACCTTATCCAAACCATCAACTCGAAAGTTAACTTAAGTTTCAGAGGGGTTTTGCCGGTCATACACCTATGCCCCTCACATATTTTTGTAAAATCTTGCTCGACATTAGTTCGTACCGAGACTAACATGAAGTAGGACCTCGAATGTTTCAAATCAACTTGTTAGTCAAACAATTAAGAAACGCTTATTCCATTATATTTCAAGAAAATCATATTGATCCCTCTAGAACTAATAAGAATGATCTATAGCTCTCCCCATCTTCCCAATTCTTGAACTCATTGTTTTCCATTGATTATTCCATGGCATAATTACCCATCATTCACTCCCGCCTACTATCGTAATTTTCTATCAAAACGTTCAATAAACTGACCTAACAAGTTCGAACTTGGGACAACAATTATTCAAACTATCATTTTGTTCCTTTCCTAGCTTGCCTAGTTGGCACAACATAGATCAATGGCCACATCCCCTATTCATCCATGGATATCAACACTTAGTTTTATGAGTCATGCCTTTTATCGATTGAGACTCGTGTAATTACCGTCGAGATAATTATAGATTATTTCATGTAGTTAAATTTCTTTAACATCTTATTTTCTAGAGTTCAAAAAATTATATTAAAATTTATATAATTATAAAAATAAAATATTTAATTTTATTTATTTTAATATCATCAATTTTATTGACGAAACATATAACATGTGATGCATGAATGACATGTCAGATTTTTTTATTTTGATTAATATATTTAAAAATTTTATATTAAAATCTATATAATGATTAAAAATTAAACCATCGTATCGCAATCAAATTGGACCGCCCACCCCATCTGGATGTGGTCACAGAGCGAAGCGAGATTGCAATCCAAAGCTCGAAGCTCTCCGTTGCTCCCATCATTATAGGACGGCAGAGGCTGGGGTGGGCTGGCGGTGGGGGCAGCGGCTGTTGCGACGGCTGCGCGGACGATGACGACGGGACCATGGCCATCTCGGACGATCGGCGTTAGGAGAGGAGGCGGCGCGGTCTAGAGCGAGCCGGCGGAGGGGGTTCCGTCGATCGCGCCGCCTGCCTCTCCGAATGCCCAATCTTCGGGGAAGATGCGAGCCATCGAGGCAATCGCTATCTCCAACTGTGGGAGAGTTTGGAGTGGCGGTAGCGGAGGGTCGAGTAGTAATTGGAATGGGGAAGAAAAGGAATCGGGATGCTGTGGAAGGGTCGCGAAGAGAAACCTTCTTCGTAAGTAATATCGTTGTTGGCGATTGCTTGTTGCGACCGTAAATTCCGTGCTATGAGGGATACTCTTTTTACCACCTTAAAATATTCCTAAAATTGTGAACCTTTAAGCTAGGCGAATTAAGATTTTCATATCCCTCAAAAAATTTATATTTGGATCTTTATAGTCATGCAAGAAAACCTATAATTTCATCTATTCTAATATCATTAATTTTATTAATAAAAATATAAAATAAAAAATAAAAAATAATTTCAATATTTTAATTTATGGTAACGAACGGTGTTGATAGTGGCAGTCGGTGGTTGTTGTGAATGGAGAAAGCGATGATGAAATGTGAGGATCGCTTTACATTTATGTTGACGCTGATGCAGTTGTCAAGCGACCTTTTTGCTTCTCTGAATTTGCATCGGTATTGATGCAATTATCGAGCGACACCGCTTGACAACTATGTCAACACTGATGTAAACGCAAAGCAACACCACTTTGCATCTACATCAGCACTGATGCAAATGTTGAGCGACCCTTTCGTCACTATACATTTGCTTTAGCATTGACGTAGTTACCAAGCAGTGAAAGGATCGCTCGACATCTTCATCAATGGCCCTTGGATTGATGCTGACGTAGATGCAAAACGACGAAAGGGTTATTTGGGTGACTATTGTGGATGAGGAGAACGATAACAAGAGGTCAGAGTCACTCTGCATCTATGTCGACACTAACGCAATTGCTGAGTGATCCTTTCGTCACTCTGCATATGCATCAGTATCGACACAGATGCCAAGTGACAAAAAGGCCATCGATGTAAATATCAAGCGTCGTCGCTTTGCATCTACATTGACGTTAACGTAGATACAAAGTGCTATTGATGATGCAGGTGCAAAGCATCGAAAGGCGACTTGGCAATTGTATCAACGTTGACGCAGATGCAAAGCAGCCCTAGCATCTCACTACCGTTCTCCTCATCCACAATAATCACACGTGGACCCCAACGATATCATTATCCGTCACCACTACACCATCCGCCACCACCAACTAAAACATTAAAATTATATTTTTACTCTTTATTTTCATATTTTCATCGATAAAACTAGATATTTCGCTTCAACTTTTAAGTCTAAGGACATGGATATTAATAAGAAGGTCTAACTACATTAATTAATCTATAATTAACCCTACCTCGCTTTATGACAACTAAGTAATGATACGAAAGCCAATATTGTGGTCTCGATTGTACTGGATTTGCATCGTATGTATACCGTCTCAGTCATGCATGCAATCTGCCACCCGTACCCTTAAAACGGTGCTGAATGAAGCACCAAATTCTATTTCTCATCGTTTGATATATTGCAAGGTAAATGGGTCACAGACGAAATGATAAACATTATAATGCTTTGATCCAATCTTTGAAATTATCGGAGAAACAAAATAGAAGGAATTTATTCTACTTTCTCATCTTCTCTCCTCTAAATGTTATATTTCTAGAGGTGTTAACGAGTCCCTCTGCATTATTTCCAAAAGCGAATAAAATTATATTACATATATAATTGCTTTTTAATTTCTTCTCAATGCATGGTAGTTAGTGATGTATAAAAACAACATTAACGTTAACCAGCAAGCACTAGATTAAGCTATAAACAAAGCCAGCATCAAAGGTTCAAGAAAGACATCTAAAATGTCTCCTTTACTAAACATACAGAAACCAAGCAGAGATAGTTCCTGCAGACATTATATATGTTTGTTGTCTTAATATCGGGTCACCACAGACCATAAATATCTTTAACAAAGTTCAACAGCAAGATTAAGTCCGGGTGGAACAACCAGAAGTCTAGGCATTTATCGCAACCCAACGACAATACTAAATTGCCAGTCTGTGTTCCATGCTTAAGCCATGACATCCAATTCATCCCATATCAACCATCTTCAGCAGCAAAATATTGCTCTATTCAGATTTTGCCTGTGAGAAGCAACAAATGCGTCAGAAAGAAGAAAACTACCCATCCGAAAAGGTAAGAGCAATTAGCAATCCTATTTTTGAGTCATACCATAGGTGATCGAGATCGCGATAAGCTTCTGCTCCTGTTGGGACTAGGCTTACTAGGACTTTTGCTCCCACGTAGGGGCTGCATGCAATACAATTTAGTTGAATAATTTAAAAAGATCAATAACCCTGTAATATAGGACTTACGGAGGTTACAGGAGATCTCGATCTCGATTGTGATCTGCAAAAAGTTCCAGAAAACTGAGTTCAATATCCACATCGCTGGTTAACAGTTTGATCCAAATCCTTGAAGCCTCTCCCAGGTGAGAATCATATGGAAAGGCAGAACAAAGAGCTCAAAATATTTTAAAAGCATTTAATTCTTATTAAAAAAACTCATGGCCATGTATAATATGCAAGTGTTTGAATCTTGAGAAAAAAAAGAGAATTCAAGTGGGATCAGCATAGACTTGCAAACATGGATATGGCAGAGTATAAATTGCATCGGGCAAGCTGTGAAAAACCCACGCCACAAAAATCCTAATCTATCTTGAGGGCTGTTCATTGTACCCAGGAAAGCTATATCCAGGACCCTGAATGCAACTTATAGTACTGGGAAAATGTTGAAGGAATGGCAAAACTTCTCCCTAGGACTCGTCCAGTGACGCCCATTTCCATTTGCCTTAGAATAATCCAGCTTTGTCATTGCAACCAATCCTTTCTGTCCCCGAGAAGGCCCATCAGAAAAGGCCATTAAAGGTAAACATCAAGATTTTCTGCAGGTTTCATAAACTGCTCGTCTATGAAACAGCATACCTCACAATACCAAAAAGGTTGCAAGCATTGCCACCATATCCAATTCAGATCCTAACATGCAATCCAGAGATCCCCGCTTAAGCCCAAATCTAAAAAAAAGAGAAAAGTTAACTTTCAAATGGAAGATGATATAGACTTGTCATGACCACCGACTAAAAAGGGGACAAAAGCACAAAAACGATGAACCAATATAGCAAATATCAAGACATTGTTATGTAAAAATTCGTCTTTAGATAAAAGATACAAGATACAGAGGTACAAACAGTCTTCCGAACTACGAAAGTAGATAGTGATCATTGAAGCAGCCATCATCATTGAAATGAAAGCATATACTTAATACATCAAACAGCCACAGGTACAAACAATTTCTTACTGCAAATATCAAGAGTCATGACCACCCAAATATCAATATGTAAAGGATCACCAAGACAGAAGTATCAGAGATATTTTAAGATAACATGAACCATATTTTAAGATATTTCACTCCAGCACCCAAGATTCGCCTCTACCTAATGGAGATAATTTAAAGTCACATCCAACCTTATTTTTCCCCTACAAATGTTAACAAGCATAATACGGAAAAAGATGATTGCCAGAAAGAAAAATGAGGTGATTTTCTACAAGAAAGCACCAAATCAATGGTCATTTTCACGATGCAGAAGGAAGGAGCAAACTATTTTCATCCCTGGATGACAACCATACACAGGATTGCTCACTGTAATGAAAAATAAGAAATAGAAGCTCCAGAATTTCCACAAGAGAGACAAAACAATGACATACATGATGGACTAGATTAGAAAATTGAAAACCTTACTGAACCACAACCATGAGCTAAAACAAGAAAACGGATGAAGGCAAACCATCTTGTTCTGCCACAAATAATAATATAAACCAGTTGCAGGTGAAGAAATTACGCTGTTGTGAATTGTGAGAACAAAATGTGAACTATCAATGAGTGGATCATCATGGTGGTTTTCAAAGTTCCCAAATGATGTCCAACATGCTAGCAACTCCAAATGTTTTCATAGCTAAATTTTATGACCAGATACCTTAAACTAGAGGTTGCACATTGTCTAACCTAACTGAAGATACCAAGGGTGTGTTTAGTTGTGGGGCAGCATAAAAGTATGAAACCTAAGCCTGAATGGGGCCTCAAAACTCAATGAAGGGCACCAAATTCTATTTCTCATCGTTTGATATATTGCAAGGTAAATTATAATGCTTTGATCCAATCTATGAAATTATCGGAGAAACATAATAGAAGGAATTTATTCTACTTTTTCATCTTCTCTCCTCTACATATCTGAACACTGCGCAAGAAAAAACATCATAGTTTTTTCCACAATTCCTAATCTAGTAACTAACAGACATCACGCTGGAATAAGGGCAACTTTTTAATGTAACATACATAAATTTATGTGTGCACATGATTATATCAAACAAAGAAAGTATTACCATGTAAATAACTACTTAGGTGTCGCATTAATGACAAAGGTCAGAAGGGAGGGGGAGGAGGAGAGGTGGGCAGTTCAATGTGATTCAATTGAAAAGAAAACATAAAAATTACTCAAATTCTACCAAGAAACTGACTTTTTCTTGCTGTACCTTGACAAAGAACGTCCTTTGGATGCTGATCTTGAATGAGAAGATGCAGATCTTGATCGAGATCTTGACAAGGAATGGCGTGATGGCTTTGCCCTCGGAGACTTGCTGCTCAACATATTTAATATGTATCAAAGTCTATCACATGTTTATCGCAATCATAACAATTAGAACACTTATCAGACCTTCGGCTCCGGCTTCTACTGCGGGGTGGAGTAGGGCTTCTTGAATAAGAACGACTACGACTTCGGCTCCTAGACAAGCTTCTCTTTGAATCATATTCCTTCACCTACGAAGAAATGAGAGGAAACTTCTATAAATAGTTCTTTTAACATGAAAAATTACCAAAAGAAGCTATTGATGATGTTCGATACTCTTATGTATGCTCGTGAAAATGCATTGCGAAACTCAGAGTCATCAAGCTTCCTTATCTGCAAAGGATGAGAAATTGTTGGAAATGTTCAGATGTCAATTTAAATCCAAATGCTAAACATTTTAAACAAAATAATTCACCATCAGCATCCAAAGGCCATATTCACATAAAAGCAAATCAATCACCGAAATTGGAGAACTAACACAAGAAGGTGATATATGATAAGGCCAACAATTATTAACTTAGTAAAGCACTTACTGCATATTTCATATCATCATAATTCGTGTAATCTACAATTCCGATAGTACCTGCAACACCAATGAGTACTTAGATTATGGTATTTGCATCTAAAACAAAAACCAAGTGAACAGCTGAAAATGTATATGGAAATGACAATCAGCTTGTACTTGTGTAAACAGTTAAAGACTTTCACCTTAAAATTGGTCAAACACAAAATAGGTTAAGAAAGACATTGCCAAATGAATGATACAGAAACAAATAATCAGTATGAGCATAATGGGAAATTTGTTAAATATGTGGATAATTAGTCAAAATACATACTAAACAGAAACGAGCGAACTCCCAAAAAAGAATTACAAGTCAAATCATGCAAGCATTATGTGATGCCCATAGGGTCAACCAAGAACTCTTTGTCTGTCTCAGCCAACAGTGAATTATTGCATTCCCATTACCTAGTAAATTCAAATAGCTTGTGTCATGGATAAAGATTTTAAGGTGAGTAAATCATTTCAATTCAGTTGTATATTAGAAAGCCTTTCAAGCAAGGTTCGCCGTACTATACCATACCGGCATTTTGACCCGGGTTCGGTACGGTATGGTACCGGTGTACCGGGTGGTACATCGGGATGTACCGAGAGGTACACCCTGGTTTACCGAATAATTTTATACTTTATACTGTAGCAGTTCTACAGTATAGTACTGTAGCACTGTAGCGGTACCGAGCAGTCCGCATACCGGTAACCTGTCAGACCGGTACATACCGCCCGGTACGGACGGTACGCTTCGGTATGGCAGACCTTGCTTTCAAGAATACCCATCTTGGTCAAGTTAAGCCCAAACAGATATCAGACAACTTTAACAACTTACAGCTTAAAGAAAAGATATTTACAATCAAATCAAACTTTGTTTAATTGAATATTAGACATGCGCTAACGCAATCATGATCCTACACCAAATTTGAAAGATCCATTCAATTCAAGGAACCAGGAAGGATAATTGAAAACCAAGATAAAAAAGCAAAAGAAAAGCAAGATTGTGATGGGAATCGACCACTCAACAGTGGATAAGTGATGATTAGATAATTAAGGATGCACATATCAGTATCAGCACTTCAAACGAAAAAATAAATGGTCATAAAAAGAAACAAAATCAAAGGATAAATTACATTTATAATCCTATTTTCCCTTTTGGACGTTTCATCACCTCACTCCTATCTCAACTCTTGTTCTCCTGTTGTTAGTCGTGTAAAAGCTACATGTTGACCAATGGGATAGAGTCCGTTCCCTATCATTTATTCCTTCTTGTTTACCGTTCTCCACATCTCTTCTCTACCAGCATCAGCTTAACTCTAGGGCTCTGATGCCATCACCAACCTCAAAGGTTTCTGTCAGCGACAGCCAAGGGAAGAGGAAAAAGGAAAGAGCTGATCCTACTCAGAGATCTAAGAGAACCTTGGGAGCCAGAAACCTGCAGGTCAATAAGGAGAAAGATCACTGAACAATGACCAGATCAATTAACATGGACAAAACCAGGAACTGAGATGGATGGCTCGAACCCAAAGAAACAAACAGCCTAATTGGATAATACAGTTTGTTCGATTTTAAGAAAAACAATAGTGCAGCAAAAGGAAATGAAGACAACTTCTCCTTTTCCGAGACTCATGCCTGGATGTGGAAAAGTGAAAGTTATTCTCTTTTGAGAAGGTGACCAGAAAAGCAATGAGTGGAAATCTTGAAAAAGCTAGTTCTCTACCAACCAAGCAAACGAAAAAATAGCTTTTCTTCAATAAAACCAGCCTTGAACTTTTCTGTGCAACCAGATCATGAAAATTCATTTACATGCAGACCTCGTAATGGATTGACGCAAGCCTAAAGAAAGTTCAGAAGAAAAAGTTCTGTTTTATGTTTAAGCAAGGTTAAGGGTATGTCTGAAAAAGGAATGAAAAAAAAGAGAACCAAAATGGACAAATTTCCTTTATCGGTGAAATTTTTTTTTATTTACTGATGATTTGGGATGAAATATTAAAGAAAGCATAAAAGCTAGCTAACCAAAATAGCTCGTCTAGCCCAAGGAATACAGTATCAGCATCTGCCACGCACTGAATAGTGGGCTAGGGTAACATGATCCATCCTGTTTAAAAGTCATCACACTTGAGTAGGTTCTCTCATCATACATGTAGAGACAGAACTTCCAAGTGTAGTGGTGAGAATCCTTGCCACTAATAGATTAGCCTATATAAAATAAGATCAAAGCCTTAGCAGAGGGCAGGAATTAGAGATAGTGGTGAGAATCCTTGCCAAATTTGCCAATATGATGTCGCCTAAAATGCCAAATATTTCCAAATGGAGCATTAATGTTCAAATTGCACAATGGTCGTGCAAACCAAAATAGCATGACAACTTGTTCCAACAGTTGAAATGCAATGATTGAAACAGCATTCTAAGTCTGTGTCATTCTTAATTTCTTGTTTCTAATCCTCTACATTCTTTCACCCTTTTTTTAATTACCAAAAATAGTAATTCGTAATTCCTACGCAATCATGCTAGTTATGATTAGTTGCTAATATCATAAAGGATAGTGGGAAGCCCACCACACAAGGCTCCACCAATGCACATTTTGAGGAGGATCAATGTTAACATGAAAGCATATAAAAGTTCAACCTTCACATCCTGCACATGAAACTCCTGCAGCATAAAGAGCAACTGATGTACTGCTGTGCAACTTCATATGTCTCACAAGTCACAAGAAACCAAGACAAAATGCAAGAGCAAAGAATATAAAGCTGAGAGCAACTCACCACCACCATCGCGAAAAACTTCAGAGAAGCAGACATCACCAGCTCGGCGCATATGATCCTTAAAGGTAAATTTTCAAAATTTCATTCAAATGTTATCAAAAACTAAAACAAAGATTAGGATCATGCAAACAAACCTTTAAGTCTTGCCAGGAAGCAGATGAAGGCAAACCAGTGACCATGACTACACAAAATCACAAATAATAAAATTTTGAACCAAAATTAGTACCACTCATGACTTTAAAGATGCAAAGTTACAGATTACCAAGCACACACCACGATATTCTGAGCGTCTAGAAACTCCACCACGTCGACCCCCGCTGCTGTAACTACTGTGACGATCAAATGACGAAGATTGGCCTCTTCCACCATGAGCAAGTTCCACCTGCATCAGACAATAAGCACAGGATAATTATTAAAAATAACATCAGAAACAATAGATGAGTCGGCGTCAATATGCATACCCGTAATCTGTGACCATCAAAATTATACCCATCACGACCACGAATAGCATCATCAGCATCACGAGGATCTTCAAACTGCAAAGGGAATGGGTCGTTTAATATCCAACGCCTAACAAGGCATACGCTTGTCTATCTTGTCCAAATTCCAGCTAATTGACCATAAATATCTCTTACTATAAGGCATAGTAAAAAATAGCATACTTGACAACAAGAACACTTGAAGTATAAATCACTCTTTTTCTAAAGGAGATTAGTTGTTCAAAATGACAGCCATAAATACATTACCTCAATGAATGCATAACCTGGAGGCCTTGGAGGAATCTTCAAATCAATATCAATGATGGGTCCATACTGCATAAGTCATCAGAAAATGCTAGAGCATTATCTCCTACTTTTAAATGCCAAAATTACCCAAATATAATTTTTCCTCACAGCTATCATTTGCAACAAGTAGTATTTAGAAGATTTTAAGACGATCAAAACTAGAGAAGAAATTCCCAATCCTATTTTTCATAAGCCATATCAAAATTCTAAGAACTCAGAAAGGGAATGTACATAAGCCCCATCAATACTAAATCAAGATAGAATAACTGAAGATTTTTAGTGAAACATAAAAAGTCACATTTTCATCAAAAAAGTGACCGAGCATCCACTAATTAAAATTTAACAAACAAGAGAAACGACAAATATATGGAGTACTCACTGCTCATCTTTAAAAAGGATGGCAACAACATGATATATAATACGCACAAATAAGTAGGAGAACTTGAAAAATACAATGGTTTAGAGTCCAAGGTTCGTAATTTCATACCGTACCGGAGTATCGAGTTCAGCTCGATATGGTACATTACGTGTATACCGAGCGATACACTCTGATGGACCGCTCGAGATATATAT